AGGCTGGCCAGCTCCTGACAGTTGCTGTTGCATGATGGAAATGTTTTTGAGTCCCTGTCTCATGTTCTGGACTTTCAACAATTCTCTTTTTAACAATTACCAGCACTTATTAAAAGGTTTTCCCCAGAGTACTTCCCCGTTTGGTATGAAGATAACTGGGCTCTGGTGTTGCTTTGTGTGTTGGCTAATTTTTTTTTCTTGATTATTTGCTGTTCCCAGATCTTTTGGAGCAATTTTGCAACATCAACAGCTCACAAAAGGAATGGCAAAGAGACGCAGGAATAGGTATGACACATCTCCACAACAGAGAGCTCAGATGGGGCACACAAGTCAAGAGCCAAATAAGACTCAGAAAGAAAATCCAACAACACCAGCCCCTAACACCTGAGAATTCTGCTACAGAATTGTTCATAGAATCTTAGAATGACCTGGGTTGGAAGGGACTTTAAAGTTCACCTAATTCCAAGCTCCTGCCATGGGCAAGGACACTTTCCACATCTTGCTCAAAGCCCCATCCAACCTGGCTTTGAACACTTCCAGGAATGGGGAGTTCAGGACTGAGCAGGATCCCTAACCTTGACAGGAGAGAAATAAAGCAAAGGATAACTGAACCCAGAAGCTCAGCTGAGCAGAACCCCAGCTCCGAGCATCCCTCCAGTCCTGCATCTTTTCAGCTAGGAACTCAAAGCTACATGATCCCACTTCTTTATTTTGGCAAGAGGAAACAGTGGAATTACAGAAAGACATCAGGATTATCAACTCCCAACCAAGTCTGACCCTTGAAACCCATGCCAAATTTGGTTTACACCACCAGCATCTCACTGTCCTTCATGCAGAGAGTCTGGCTCAGAGCTGAGATCCTGTGGCTCCCTGAGTTACTCCTTTAATGTGACTCAGCCTGGAACTAAGCTCCTCTTAGGAGTAGATGCTTGGAAATTCCCCTCCTGATTGCTGAACCCTGTGCCGAAAGCCTCTTTATTCCCAGGGAAGGTGCTGAAGGTTCATACCAGCTGAGCTTCCTCCCATTTTTCCCGGTTTTCCTCTGACAAAATGTTGCTGATGATCTGGACGAAGTTCTGGAGGAGGGAGACAAGAGAGGACAGAAGAGGTTGTTATGCAAACGTAGCCCAGGCTGGGAAGGTCACAGCCGTGTGGGAGGGACACGTGATATTTAAAGATGCTCCAAAAGCCTTCTCATGATCCCATTCCCAAAAGGTTCCAGAGCATTTCATAGGTCCCCTTTTCCCCAAGGATTTCACTTTAACTACTGTGTCATCTAAGGCATTGAATTAGGAATAGGTCTTGTATCCATTACTATGATTTTTAAAGACAGATATGGAAAATATTTGTCAGAAACTGGTTAAAACCAGTTCCATTGCAGAAATCCTTTCATATATTTTTTTCTATTATTTCTGTTGTTTCCAATACATGGAAACCTCAGGATCCCCTTTAGCTTGTGATGACCAGGCAGGAGATGCAGAGATGGATTACAAGGGTGCTGTCCATGGTAGGACCTCTACAGCACACCATGAGAAGGAAGGAAACAGGAAATATAAAACTATAGATTTTTTTTCTCCAGTTTTACCACTCTCTGCAGATCCTGCAGGATCAGTTTAATGTTTCAAGTCATGAGGTGATGATCTATCCCAAGGGTGTATCCTGTAGCTGCTCTGCAGCTGCTGGAAATAAAACCCTGGGTTAAAAAAGCACAATATTCCCCCCTACATCAACACCCAGGTACCCAATGCCACAGGATCCTTTTACCTCGAGTCATTAGCCTGAAATCCCTACTAAATAATGTTCTCTTATCAATTAGGCTCTGCAGTGAAGTGCTATCATGTTGAAATAGCTCAGAATGACCTTGGCTTTCAAGTTCTCCTTTTATAAACCAAGGAAGAACCACCTCGAAAGGAGAGTTTGTTAATACAGAAAGACATTTATGTTGGGAAAAAAAATAACCTGATTTTCATCAGCACTGTATCAGCTACAATCAGTATCATCAATCAAACCTGGAGTCCAGAGCATGGGCAGCTCTCTAACCCAGCCTTGGGCTCCAGGAAATGCACCTGGGCTCACCTGCACATCCCCAGAAGTTGGGCTGTGGTAAGCCCTACGGAAGATCTCTGTCATGTTCCTGAGTACGTCCATGGTGGACAGCAGGTCCCCACTGTAGCTGGTCCCATCCTGGGAGATCTCCACGAGGTTCTGGAGCACGTCTGACAGCCCATCTCCCATCAACCCACGCTGAGCTTTGGCAAGGTGTTCCCTGGTCTGAGAAACAGAAGAGAAAAGCGAGAAACACTTTTAGGGACAGTCAAAGTCGAGTTAATGAGCTCGGTGAAGGAATCGCCAGGGGAAGGTTTTTGACCTCCCTCACAATTCAGAGTGCAGATCAGATTAATCTGACAATCTCTGCTGGCCTGAGAGCCTCTGATATTTTTTAAATGATAGAAAAGAGTGATATATTCTAAATTATCTTCCAAGTGGCTCTAAAATGACTGAGAACTGGTTTGCCCACAAAGAAGAAATTGTCTTACTACAAAGTTTCTTCTGTTCATAGCCCAAAAGAATATTTTTGCTCCAAAATCTTGTTTTCTTACAATCAATTTGGAATTGTTTTAGGACAGACTGTACCTTACCATGAACAGAAGAGGTCAATTCTCCTAAAGCTGACGGGAGACCAGCAGAAATTCCTCATAAAAATGAATTTAAGATTAAGAAAAAATAAGATCCTTATTTAAAAGTGATACCATCATAGCTATACTTAATGACAATGTGATATGAAAGCCTGGAAGAATCCAAATTCTGCCAAGTTGGATATTAAAATATCTTGAAAAGAACAATCCCTTGTCCATGGAGTGCCCGTGCATCACAAGGTCAGCAGAAAAAACAAGAGAAAATCAGGGCAAAGCTGGAAACTCCTTTTTTTCCCTTCTTTTTTGTAACTATAGCCATGTAACAATCGTTGGGGAGGATCCCAAGCCTGCTGGGCTGAGCAGTGGGGCTGCCTTACCATCATCTGTATGTTCCTGTAATCAATAGAAACACACTTGATGTACGTTGGAGGCTCCCAGTAAGCGATGCCTTCTTCATCTAAGATGCATCTCCGAAGGATCAGCCCTGGAAAAATGAAAGAAACAAATATGGGAGTGAAGACAGGATGGAAAGCCAAGCATTCATGGGGACTGGTCTTTTGTCATGAGTAGGAAGTCATGGGACAAGAGGACACAGCTTCAAGTTGAGCCAGGGAAGATTTGGGATGGATAGTAAGGAAAAATTCTTCACAGAAAGGGTGGTCAAGCGTCAGAACAAGCTGACCAGAGAACTGGTGGAATCACCATCCATGAAAGTGTTCAAAGTATGTATAGATGTGGCACTTGAGGACATGGTTTAGTGGTGGGCTGGAAGTTCTGGGGTAGTGGTTGGACCTGAGGATCACAGACATCTTTTCCAACCTTCACGATTTGATGGAGATCACCCAGAAGTGGTCAATACACCAATTCCGACTCAGCTACCAGCACAAAGGGCACCAGAGGCACCTGCAGATGCCTGAACAAGCCTTTAGTGGGGATTATCTTTATTTCCTTCTCCTGCCTTTTACTATTGCAGAGCAGCAGAAGGAACTGGGCAGGAAAACAAAAATTAACAAATTGGCCATGGTAAGTCAGGGTGAAGAGAAGCTTTCTCCTGCCCTGGTGACAGCATTTTTCCTGGTTTGGGAAGCCCCACGAGCCTCCCCAGGTGGTTTGGTCTGGTACTTGCAACTAAAGCAGGGCTTGTGCTGCCCACGCAGCCTGGAGGGGAATAAACACCCAACAGCACCAGTTTTGCATCAGCTGAAACTCTCTGGAAGCTGCTTCCAGTCCTCCCCCAGGTCTCCCCTCAGCTCCAATCCACAGAAGGGTTTGCAGTGATAATCACATGCCTTGTGATGTGGAGGAACAGACATATCAGCGAGGAGGAAAGGGAGAGGGATCACCCTGTCCCAGCCATCATGATGACATTTGGAAAGTCTCTGAGGGTCAGGTTTGCTGGGTCTGCAGTTCTGTTGCTGCTGCCAAGTGATTCATTGACCTTTCTCTGGAGACAGCCCCTCTGGGACAGCACTGGGGATGACACTGACTGTCCCAGCTGAGCCAAAGAGAACTGTTTGTATCCAACCCTCTCCCAAAAACGAAATAAAACCTTTACACATATTGACACTGCTGCAATTATTTCTGTTCCTGCCTGGCAGTGAGGAACATCCAGCTGAGGACAAATCCCAGCAGCAGCATCACTCCTGGAGCCTTCTCTGCACCACCTTCCACTCCTGTGGCCACAACAGGTAACACCTGGATGCCCATGTCCTTTTCCTTTACACCAGAACAATCAGACCATCAACTTGAGCGTTCAAAGAAATTTTTAGAGAGGTAATGAGGTTTCTAAGTGTAAGCAGACAACTGAATTCAGGTTTTCTGCTCTTGCACATCATCTGCTTTGGTGGGCACTGGAGAGAACTACAACACCCAAATCCAGAGGATTCGAAAGCGCTACCTACTCTGCAAAGCTTTTTGTAGATAATGCTGGGAACATATCCCAGTGCTCCTTAATTTCAAACTTTCCACAGGATGGATGGAAACCACCTCAGATTATCCAGTGGCAACTAAGATGTTTATGCTTAACAGCGAAAACAGAAACCCAGACAGAGTTAATTTAGCCATGGACAAAGGGAGGGTAGTCCTTGTGCCTGTCTTGTCATCCCACAGCCAGGCTCTCCTCATCTAGGACACAAAGGATGAAGGATCACACGCAAAGGATGAGGGAGGACCTGCCCACCATGCAGTCACCCTTACCAGTGGCATTGCGGGGACACCGGACGGCGGCAGCGTCCCCGGCTGGCGTCTCCTTCCAGACCACAGGGCCAAGACTCTCCTCGTCACAGATTTCGTGGGGCTCTGCCAGGAGAGAAAAACTCTGTTGGTAAAGCTTCCTCCTCAGCGTGGACATGGAAAAGGGAAGTATGGGAGCGTGGTCTGTGAGCCAGGAGGCTGGAGCTGCACTCCCAGCTCTGCCGGTGCTCAGTCCCTCACAAAGTCACTTCACCTCTCTGGAATTTGCTCTGCCTGTCTGAAAGCTGGGCATTCATCCATTCTGAGGATCAGCTCGCTAAAATCCACCCACTCACATCCTTGCCTTGTCTTGGGGCAGCTCTTTGCAAGAAAACTGCTGTTGCTAGCCTCTACCAAAGAGTTTTATTTCTTAATTTTTAATGGACAGATCTTTTGTGGGTGAGCTCCGTAGCTCCAGACTCCACCTCTGCCATCCCTCAGGGTCACCACCTTCAGTGCTGGATGTATCTAAAATGAGGCTTGGCATGAATCAGTGGATTAAGAACGAAGGAAAGAACAAGCAAATGAAAAGACAAGATGGGCACATCCCCTGGGTGGTCTTCATTCTGCCTGCTTCCATCTTGTGCACAAAAGAGAGCAGATCTGAGCCCCAACAGCTTGGAACTGCATCAGCAGCTCATTTCCAAACATTTCTGCAGAGCCCAGGAGCCTGCAAAAATGTGTTTTGAGACATCACAGAAAAAAAAAATCATTGCAAGGATGGTTTTGGAAGCTTCTGTCTGTGGGTGGAGCTGAGTCGGTCCTGGAGTTGGTGGGATCTGGGAGAAAAACATTCACCACAGGAAGTCTTTGTGCTGAGAAACTCATTATTTACAACATGTAAAGTGGAGGGAGCCATGAGGATGGTGCTAAAGCTATTTGTCACTCCTGAGGGAGGGAAGGAGAAAAAAACTTGATTTAATAGTTTCTGATAACAGTTTTTATTCATTGCACATGTAAAATTTCCAACACAAAGGAAGCTGAGTTTGTGCCTGCAGCTGGTCGGGGCATGTCCAACTGCTACTCTGGGACTACCCAGGGACCAACCTGGCTGTGAGGAGGGCTCAAACCCAAATTATGGGCATGGCAAGTCCTGCTTCTTTGAAGAACTCCTACAGGACCCAACAAGCTGCCTGCACATCACTGTTCCTGCTGGCAGGCTCCAAGACTGGTCCCAGCCCCAGCTGCAGTTCAAAGATGGATTCCTCCCCAGTAAATACTGAGAATGAATAAGCTGAATTCTCTGCCTGGAAACAGATGCTCCTTCCCCTGGTTTAAAGTCCCCCTGTGAGTAATCGCTATTGTGATGGAACTTCGGAGGGCAGCAGGACCCCAGCTGTGCTCTGCACATGAGCAGGGCTCGTGGCTTCTGCAGATAAGCCAGAACAGGGGTGGAGAAGAGGCAATTTCATTTCCAGCCTGCTGACATGGAGCTGTGGGGCAGAGAGATTGAATACCCCAGTTGTGACAGCACTTGGTCACCCCCAGAGCCTGTCCCAGAGCAGGGGGCCAATTTCCAGACTCTTGTCCCTGTGCTTTGACCACGGTCACAGATTGTCCCATGGTTCACAGGAGGGTTCTGGGGTGTGGAAGCTTCCAGCACCCTTAGCTACAAAAAAACAGAGCACAGGAAAAAGCAGAGAGGGAAAATGTTCACATCTCTCCTCCTGTTTCTCCCCTGCTGGCCTGTCAAAACTTCCTGGTCTTGTCACCCCTGCAGTGTCCCTGGGGACCACTGAGGGATGCTGTGGATCAGAGATGTTCTTTAAAAATACACTGACTGGAGTTGTCTTGCCAGTGAGCAATTCCCAGACCAGGAGAGAATCCTTTCCTTTTTTCTTCATTTTTTTTTTCTTTTTGATGTTGCTTCACAACAAAATCCCTTTTACCAGAGTAACCTATTTGCACTGGGAGATTTTAATAACTAACCCAATTAAGTTCAATTCTTCTGCTCAAATCAAATCACGCCAGCATGTGGTACTTTCTTGGAGAACAAATTGAGCGGGTTTATTTTTAGCCTCTGATGTTTCCCCACCTTTTCCTTCCCTTGCAAATTAAAAACTACAGTGAGACCCTTCTGGCTGTGAACCCTGGCAGGCCCCAGTGCCTGAGACTTGCCTTTTCCTTTTGAGCACTGCACAGGCATCAACCCCTGCGGAAAGAGAAGAAAAGCTTGGGCTTGTTCTGCCAGGGCCTCAGCTGGCACACACTGAAGCTGAACTAAATCTGCCTTGCTCTGTAGACACCACCAGACAACCCGGTGCTAAGATTTTCCGTGGCGAGGGAGAGCTTTGTGGCAGAGTTAGAAGAGATTCTCACACGCCACTGCTAATTGAGAGGCACAGCTTGCAAGGAGAGGTGATGCCTTTCATTAAGAGCGTAGCTGGGAAGAGTGACAAGGCTGTCACACAGCCTCTTTCTCTGTCGTCTCTGAGCTGAATGTGCTGGAACTTCCATGCTGAAGTCCTCTGGCTTTCATCTCTTTGTCTTCAGCACTCTGTGAGGGAGTCTGAGGGGTTGGCTTGGCCTCCACGTGGAAGATCTGCCCCCTGTTACTCCTGCATCAAAACTGCTGCCTCCTGTCCTTGAGGGAGATGCCCCTTTCCAGCAGGAATGCTGGGGAACTGCCATGAGAATCTCTCCTGTCTCTCGCTGAGCTGCTCTGACAATTAATTACCCTTTCAGTCAAAGCTCGTGGCCTGTTACAATCGATGCAATCTGACTACAAACATCACAAAGGCCATTGATTCCCCACCAGCAATTTCACCAGGCCCTTCAACTCAGGCTGAGGAAGAAAGCAAAAATGGTGGACAGGCCTATTTTTTGGTCTCTGTATAGTCTGAGGGGCAGACAGAAACTTTCCCACTTGGATGTGTTCATTCCAGCTTATTTTTCACATTCAAACCCAGATTTTCATCTGCCCTACAGCTCACTCACCCTCCATTCACCTTTTACATCTGCAGGAGGGTAAGATTTAGGTAAAGCTCCAACAGATGCAGATAAATATTTTTTTTCGTTTGTTTTTTTTTTAATTTCCAGTGGGGTTCAGGCTTCCCAGAGGTAAAGGGTGGGAAACCTGTGCAGCATCCTCAGTACTCAAAAACTTCATGGACTTGAGACTCTGATGCCAGTTTTTGCTACCAAACAGTTTCTCTTTTCCTCTTGTAACTATGGCAAAGAAAAGATGAAACCACCAAGGCAGGGCTGGTGGGATTGACCAAATATTCACTGAAACCAACACGGTTGCACTTGATTCTGCAACAGTTAAATCAAGACCTGGTACCTGGGGCATGGGCAGGTTTTTATTAGATTACAACCCTTTGTAGCGTTCAGATCTCTGACAAAGGATGTGGAAGCCATTTCAAAATCCAAAATTCTGCCTCATTCAAAGGAAAGCACGCGGGGTCTAGGGTACATACCAGGACACTTTCTGTCATTGCACTGCTTGTATTCCTCCTTGGGACCCTGGCAAGTCTCTCCACCAAAGAAGGGGCCGTAGCACACCCGGTCACGTCTCTGAGTGCCACCTCCACACGTGGCGGTGCAGCTGCCCCACACTCCCCAGGCCTGCCACTTCCCATCCACTGGAAACACAAAAAAAAAAAGTAGTAAAAAGAGGAGAAACAGCCTGTTATCTCCCAAACATCATCTGCAACAGAAGGAATCAAGATCCAAAGGCGAGCAGAGGAACGTAGGGTGAGTAGGGCAGAGTTTGGTAGGAAGGGAGGTCTCCTGCTTTGGATCTTGGTTTGATCCTTAACAGACATTAAATCAGAGTGTTCCATTCCCATTCCCATCAGCCCAAGGGTGGTTTTTTTGCTCTTCCTCAGCACCTCTACGCTCTGCAAAAGCTCTTTCCTCAGGCGGACATTTGGGGCTGTGCTCCAGAACACTCTTCCCATGGCAGGGGTTCAACCTAGCAGCCACATCTGCCAGACTGCTTCCACATCTGGAGTTCACTGGGAATGTGCAATGCATGTGTGAAAATAGACCTTCCCAGAGAAGGTCTGGCTCAGGGATTTAGAAAGACCAGCAAAGCCCTTGGGCAAAAAACCATGGAGGGACCTCAAATAAACCTCCCTCCAGCTGTTTCCATTGCACTGATGCTTCACGTGCCTTGGAAAAAGGTTTGGGATGTTGTCTCATTCCATAGTGTCTTCTCCCAGCATCTTTCCAGATCCAGTGGGAATGTGACTCCTTTCATGTTAACAATGACATTTATCAAAATTCTGCTCCTTTTACATTAACAATGGCATTTATCAAAGCACCATAAAAATGTTAATTAGCCCTCACAACAAGCCTTCAAGGTAGGGAAACATTCTCCTCTGCTGTGCCACAACAGGTCAGTGACAGAACTAGAACAGGGCCTAAGTGTGCTCTTTACTACTTGGGCTTTTAATTTTGAGTTACCATATCATCTGGGGTTGAGTAATTCTTTTTGGGAGGGTGGGACATCCATGTCTTCTCCAAGAAGTAGACAAAAATTACCAAATAAGAGGGGCAGCACCAAATCCTGGTGCTTTATTTATTGACATTTTATGCAGTGGAAAGTATGACCTGAGTTGCTTTGACAGATAACTCTGAAATCAGTGGGACAGGGTTGTCTTACAAGGGAGTTCTGAAGCCTCTTTTCATCTTTAAAGATCTCCCTAAGTTACAAAGAAAGAGTGAGATTCCTAAACATCAAAATCTACTTGAGACCATGTAGGAAAATCCAATGCCTCTGTTAAATACTGCAGATAATCGGATCCCCTGAAGAAACAGGTAGACCAGGATGAATCCTGGTAGGAATTATTATTATTATTATTATTATTATTATTATTATTATTATTATTATTATTATTATTATTATTGCTGCTGTCATCATTGTTAGGTCACAGATGAGTAAAGTGAGTGACAAATCTTACACAGACATGAACAAAGGCTTTATTGCGACAGACCATCTCACTGATAAGGTTTAATGTTAAGATACAATGGAGGATCCCCAATTTGCTTGAAATACGACTGGGGATGTTGAAATGGTGGGAGGAGAGGAACAAAACAAAAAGAGAAGGGAAGCTGAAACCCTGTGGAGGCAAGGGAAGGGTTTAATTGCTATTTTCTTGGGGTTTTTTCAAGCTCATGCTGAAAACCTGATATCTGAGGTTAGAAAGACACAGTTCCTGTGGGCAATCACTCACCTCTCTGGGTGTCCTGAAACACTTGCCAGCGGTGGACTTTGGCTGGCATATGTTGAAACTTTGGCTATTAAGAGTTTTGAGTTTTTTGTGTTGAGGGGCAGAGATTCCTGCTTTAGAGCAGTAGCTTATCCTTCTTCTTCACCTTCTCCTTCATGGGTTTGGAAGGTATTTTGTAATTAGTTAGAAAAGTCCACATTGAGGACTTCAGGTAATTAGTTATTGGTTAAAAGTGAAAATAATTTAAGTATCAGTTCTTAATTAGGTAGTTTAACCTTAAAATACCTTATAGAAAAAGATAGTTAACCATTTTATAGCTTGCTAGTAGAATGCTGTAAAACTCACAGCTTGTAAGACAGTAATATCAATAAATAATAAACATTTACATCTGAATACAAAATATCGTCTCAAACATATTCAATACCAATCTTAACAAAAAACAAATCAAAAACCAACAGGCATGGCCTGTTGGAATGATCTGGATGCACTGGAAAGGGCACAAGTCTTCCCCAAATAAACATTTTACTGGGATTGCAGTGTGTCAGAATCTGAGGTATTGATGATTCCGAGATTGTAGAAAGTCTCTGTCTTTCAGCCCCGCTGCCAAAGAAGTTGTAAATCGTCTGTGCTGGTTTTCAAGGTTGTTTATTCTTGCTTATATCTAATGTTCTGCTGCCCTGCCCAGCTCTGTCCTGCAGGGCAGCGTGTGGGGCTCTGCCCTCAGTGGGATGTGACAAACATTAAATACCAGAAACTCCCTGGGCTGGATTTACAAGAACGTGCCAATATCTGTCACCTACGTTGGACAGTGTGTCCCCAGCCTGAACCAACAGAAAAATGCCAACACCACAGTGAAACATGGAGGGCGTGAAGAAGGAGAAAAAGGACAAGGCACACCCAGTTTCCTCCATCTTGTCCCCTTTGGACCCCTAATCTAAAATCCTAAAATTTTACTTTTGCACCTGTGCCACACTTAATTATTACTGATATCAAACACTCAGAGCTGGTAATTCATCCTGTAAGATTGAAAACTCTTTTCCATGGACAGAGATCACAGACAGTGTCTCTGGGGGCTTGTCCAGGGGGGTTCCTGACACCTGCCAGGGTCCCAGACCTGCCAGGGCAGCCAGAGGGATGCCCTGGACTCCCACAGCAGAGGAAGGTGGGCCAAGATAAAGAAGAAGGCATTGTCACCGACCTGGGCACTGGCGCAGGAAGCAGTCGCGGGTCTCCACCCAGTGTCCCTGGCACTCGGCTCCGCCGTAGGAGGGCCCGTTGCACTCCCGCGTCCGCTGCTGGGTCCCGTTGGAGCAGGAAGCGGAGCACGAGCTCCAGCTCGACCATTCGTTCCAGTTGCCGTCCACTGAGTGGCCCAAAGAAGGAAAACGAGCGGAATGTGAAAATCTTTCCCTCTGGGAGGAGCTGCGCGGCGAGAGCCTCTGGCCTTTGCCAACCAGGGACTGAGGTGGGGAGACCGAACCAGAGCCACAGAGCTTCAAAGAGGGCAGAGATTATCAAAAAAAATTTGGACAACTGTGGCAACAGGGACCCTCTGAAGCCTCCAATAGTCCCATAGGATGCAAGTGTCAAAACATATCAATTTTTATGTTCCATACTCTGCCTAATACCATTAAAGTTGAAACTGTTGGTATTCTGAATTCTGACATGAAAGTCCAAACTAATAACATTGCCAATCACAACACAACACCGCACCAAAGGGCGTGGCTCATGTTTTCACTGAACACTTTGAAGGGATCATTGCATTACTGTGACATTTCCCATTTGAGGCCATCAGCACTTTTTTAAGGGACCCATTTTTCAGCAAAGCAGTGCATGAATCTGTGGAGAGTGAACTTTCTCAAGCATGCAAATGCTCTGTTTTTCATTAAAGCACAGCCAGAAAATCAAATCACAGTGTTATTGACAGGAATCCACCATTCCATGGCTAGGAAACGTGGGAGCAAAGGTGTGCTCCAACAGCAGGCTGGGAACAGGGTGAGTGTGTGTGGTCAATGTACTTCTCTCACAGCTGAATTAACTCTGACAGGCTGGAGATGTTTTACCCAGCAGTGTCTTTGATAATTAAATAGAGGAGGGAGGGACAATGGAGATTATGATAGGGACGGGGTTGGAGAGAAACAGGAATACATCTTATTATCATGGTATGGACTGAAGCATTCCCCAGTGTGGTGGTTACAGCCTAATTGGTCCCTGATCACCAGATCCATCACCCAGTCTGCTCTTCCTGGAGCGTTTTTCTCATTAACAGTGGTCATCATGCTCTGTTTAGATCTAATTAGCTGCTAGATCTCACTCAGGAAAAACAACCTGAATCTCTGAAAGTCTGAATTCTGGCTCAAATCGCATTGCAGCTCTTTTTTTTTTTTTTTGGCTTTACTTGTCTGTCCAAGAAAAGTAAATTCACACTGGTCCCCCGTGTAATCTACAAGGAATTGATGAGTCCTGTGTAATCCCCATTGCAATTAAGAAGCTTTTTGTTTGCAAACTCAGTTAAAAAAATGTTAAAACCATCCAAATGAGCAACTGTTAACTCAAAAGGGATCACAAGGTGTGCAAAATCAGGCAGGCATAAAGGTACCTCCCAAAGGTGCTTGTTCTTAACAATCCAAAAGTTTATGTTTTTATTGTGCATAAATTCAAGGCTTCGTGCCAGTGCCTATCAATCCCAATGAGGGAAAATGTGAAACACAGTGTTTGACAAGTGATTATTCTTTGGAAATAATTCAAAACTCCACAAAGTAGGTTCTACCAGGTATAAATTAGCGTGGCTTTTCTGACTGAAGGCTGTGCTGCTAAGTTTCTATGCACTGATCATAAAATTATGGAATCATGGGATGGTTTGGGTTGGAAAGGTAAAGATCATTTAATTCTACTCCCTGCAGGGACACTTTCCACTATCCCAGGTTGCTCCAAGCCCTGTATAACCTGGCCCTGAATAATTCCAGGGATGGGGCAGCCACAGGTTCTCTGGCCTCATCTCCCTCACAGGGAAAAATTTCTTCCTAATAATGATGATGTCTGCTCCCCATTAACATTTCCCTGTGTTGGAAAAGTGAGACTGCATTCACCACATTAAATGTGACATTTACCAAAAAACTGCATTTATCAAAAGAAAGTTGAATTCTCTCAACACCCTCTCTGCTGCTGGTGATTGGCAGTTTATCAGGAGTGCAAGCATTTGGAGATGGTAAAATAAAGGAGTCAAACCATAATTTGGTCGTTCAGTGGGGGATTGGGAGCAGGTAATTTCCTTGTGGTTATCTACAGGCTGTAATTTCAGAAACGTTTTTAAAAAAAGGAGAAACAACGTTGGCTGTGTTGCCCCTGCAGCCACCTTGGACTGATGCAAAGATGCTTCTTGGTCAGGATGCTGAGGGGTTCCCATCACAGTCATTGCCAAGGACTGTTTGGTGCCATGGTCACACCACAGTGGGAGTCTCTCAAAAATGTTCATTGTGTGGTGAAGGCATGGTCTTCCTCCTTTTTCCCTTTTCCAAGGATCTGGGGCCTAGCCTGTGGCCTAGGAGGTGGGGTCTAGCCTGTTCCTCCACAGCCCAGGAGGAACAAAGGCCCCTTTGTCCCTGCAGCAGAGCATTTTTATCAGCTGTAGCCATAAATCCTCGAGCAGGGTAGTAATAAACACTGAGAGTGTCTGGGGTGTCAAACACCCATTGTTGTGCTTCAATGATTCCCCCAACACCGCTCTCATTTGGCGCTGCCAAGCTGCTGATTGCCTTTGTGGCACTAATTAGAGCTGAAGCCTTGCAGTTGGGCTGCTCGTCTTTTCCACCGCTGTTTCGGCCGTGTATTTATTTGTATTTAAATTAATTATGGATCAATGTTAACTCAGGGTATGCTTTATTGCCCAAGCAATGCCAGCTCTGACTTCTTATATTTGTCTTTTTATGACAGAGTCAATTTGGTGTCTGGGAGGTTCTTATTCCAAGTTGAGTCTTCTGGACAGCGGCCAAATATCCAAGGATAGTTACTTGGAGTGAAAACTCGATGGGAAATGCCAGGAGGCTTCTCACTGTTTTCACAAAGTTCTCATCCCTCCCACAATCCCTCTCCTCCTCCGGGAACATAATAATGTCTCATAATGATTCTCATTAAACTGGAAAAATGTCAGTTGACATTATCCAGGGATAGGGAGGGAGTTTTGGGGAGCTCGCTCGTGTACAGATTGTGTCCACCAGGCTAGCCAGGGTTAAATTAAGGGGGATTCTGCTGTAAACCCAGGGCCTGTCAGAGGAAAGAAGCCTCTGGAGCATAAGTGGATTTCCAGGTGGTAAAAGTATTATAATCTTTTACCTTTCTGATGTTTCAAAGCAAAAGTTGAGCAGAGGCACTTGGAAATGAAATTCAGGGGCAGAGAAAAGATAAAAAAGATTAAATTTGGCATGAGAGGCCATTAGGAGTCTCTTGGTTTATCTCAACACCCAGAGCAGGATCAGCCACAGAGAAAACTTGCATTTACATTGAATTAATGCACAGGCAAGTAAAACTATTCATTAATTCCAGCACAACAAACCCAGTCAGGCAAAATAACTTTAAACCATTCAGTGGGGAGTACAGGTGAGAAGCTTAATATGGTCTTGGAAATAGGAGTGGCAGCCAGACCCAACCCACGTAAGGTGTCCTCTGCAAGAGATCACACAGGGCAACTCTGAACCTGAGACATCTCTGATCTGAACAACCCCAGAAAGCACCTCTGGGTTTCTTCTTCAATGAATCTTTTCCTCAGGATCCTCCTTGGGGTAGTTCAGAATTTCACTGGAGTCAGCTACACACCTTGATGAGCCATGTGAGAGAAACTGAGCTGGGGAGACCTGCTGGAGGGGAGGTTTCAGATCTGTAACTGTCCCTACCTGGGCAGAGAGCGATGTTGCAGAACTTGGTTTGCTTCTCCGGGCCCTCGCAGGGGTTCCCACCGAACTGGGGGGGTTTGCAGGTGCGGGTCCGATCCCTGTAGCCTCTCCCACAAGTGGAAGAGCACAGGCTCCATGGAGACCACTCATCCCAGGTGCCGTGCACTGCAAGGGAAGCAGAAAAAGTGACTTTTCTTTTCCATAAGGGGCCTGAGGAAGTGAGGGAGCCCACAGGGCACAGCTCCTTCCCACCCGGAATGAGCAGCGTGTGGGAAGTTGGAGAACACACCAACCCAAAATGTGCAAGAACATCAAGTCATTTTTATGCTTTGCTATCAACACCAAGTGTCTGCTGCTTTCCAGTCTTTGAAATAAACCACAATGCACTTTTAGCTGACCTTAATTTTTCAGATTTTTGAGCCAACAGGGCATTTTTTTAAGCAAAAGATGGATTTAGCTAGAAAGGAATAAAACCCCACTACCCTTAGGGAAGCATCATCACCATCATTTTGTCATTTCTTGCCCTTTTTTTCCTCCCTCCCAACATTTTCTCATCAAATCCTCAAAGACTACAACATTTTAAGGCTTTCAGAAAAGCTGCAGTCTGTCTACTGATTATTATCATAGGTCAGTAGCACCTCAGAGGCAAAGTTAGGGAGACTTGGAAGGGTAAAATGGAAGGGGCAACATCCTCCAACAGTGCTCAAGACATCACTGGTAGCTCCTGGAATTAGACATCTAATTGATTTTAATCTGATCTAATTAGCATTCTAATCTCTATTAATCTAATCTTCTCCAATCTAATCTAATGTAATCTTGCCAAGTTATTTATGGAATTTTAGTCACTATAATCTCCAGAGGCCAAATGTTGTAAGAATGCACTGATCTCTCTTAACGAACTTCATCCCTTCCAGCTTTTCCAGAGAAGTTAATGCCAAATCAATAATCCTTCAGAAAAAGAAGAAAAACAAATAAACAGGGGCTTTTCCAGTCCTTCATCAGTTGTTAACAGCAACTGGTGCCCCAGTGTCAGGATAGGGGCTTAAAAACTAATTCTCACCAGGCATCTTGCATGGTAAGAGATAACCAGAGGAGGAAACACAGGCAAGAACATGGATGGTGATTTCACCATGGATGGTGGTTTCACCAGCATAGAATTGTTTCTGAACAACAATGTTGCTGGTCAGGAGAAATTAATAACATGCTTAGCTTAACAGCAAAATTCTTCTAAATAATTATAGAAGCATAGAGTGGTTTGGGTTGGAGGCGACCTCAAAAATTATCTCCTTCCAAATCCCTGCCATGAGCAAGGACAGCTTCCACTATCCCAGGCTGCTCCAAGCCCTGTCCAAGCTGGCCTTGGATACTTTCAAGGATGGGGCAGCCACAGCTCCTCTGGGCAACCTGTGCCAGGGCCTCACCACCCTCACAGGGAAGGATTTTTTCCTAATATTCAATATAAACCTATTCTCTTTCAATTTTAAGCCATTGTCCCTTGTCCTGTCACTCCATGCTCTTGTAAAAACTCCCTCCCCATCTTTCTCATAGGCTCCATTCTCCTCAGAATTTATTTTTTCACCAAAATTGTTCCCGACTTGGAAACACTCCCAAGGGCACGAGCCTGCAGGTGTACTAAGCTCATGGACTTTAGACAGCATGGAATTGTCCACACCATGCAAAGCAGGTGCCCATCTTGTGGTGCTTGGTCTAGCAAGAGTCTCTGTATGAGGCCTTAAGGCATGAAGAGAAGGAACAGGTAACAAAAACCATCTCCTCCAAGAATTACAGAATTACAGAACAGTTTGGAATGGAATGGAGCTGGAAGATCGTCTAATTCCGACCACTTCCCGCTATCCCAGGTTGCTCCAAGACCCATCCAAGCTGGCCTTGGACACTTCCAGGGATGGAGAAGCCACAGCTCCTCTGGGAAACCTGTACCAGGGCCTTCCCAAAATATCACAGTGGAGACACCAGAGGTAGCCAAACTCCCTCCCCTGCTGGCCACCAATACCTGGGCACACGGCAGAGTTGTTGCACTGCCTCTGCTCCCGGAGAGGGCCACTGCACTGGGTGCTGTAGGAAGACGAAACGCAGAACCTGGTCCTGGTCTGCCAGCCCTCCCCGCACGTGGTCGAGCACACGCTCCACGGGGACCACTCCTCTGCTGCAGGGTCACCTGTGGGGGTTGGAACACAAGGTGAGGATGAGGCACCCCTGCATCTCCAGGGAAGAAGTTTCCAAGTCACGCTTGGCCAGTTGTGAGAGCAGTGAGGCTGCAATGTGTCCTGCAGGTGGGGTGAAGGATGGGTGGAAGGGTGTGAGGGCATTGGGGAGAAAATGTGATATTGAGAATGAGCTAAAGGGGGTTTTTTTGGGTACTGTGTAGAGCTGTAGGACACACACACTATGAAAAAAAAAAAAAGGATGCTATGGAAGCATCAGGTCATTGGGAAGGACAAACTCCACCTCTGAAAGTGGCGTAGCCACTCCAGAACCTTGAGAGCTGGGATAGTGAACCTCCATTTAGAGAGTGCACCAAAAGTGATTAGACAGAGTAAATGTATCCATAAATTGTTCACTTTTAAGTGTTAAACCCCTTTCCTTGCCTTCTCACTGCCCCTGCCAGTGCAGATTGGCAGAGGAGGAGCTGACAAAGTAGAAGGTGATGGTGCCTAAGAAGGGTCAGCTGATGAAATTGCAGAAAGTTTTCTTGGCATCTCCTCTACCTGTGGAGATCTGCTGTGAACATGTGACACGGAACAAGGATGACTTTTCCAGGGCATCACGAAGTCCCTATCAACTGCTTATCTGATGGGGCAACATTGGAAAAGCAACGAAAAATATCCCATTGATGGGAGTGAAAAGCACTGAGACGTATTGCCTTTGTCACTAATATTCCTGCTGGGGCTCTTTCAGCAGCCACAACCTCCAAATAAGACACCCTAAGTGTGAAATGAGCAGGGAAAGGATGGTTTTCCATTAGTTTTCATAGTTAATATTCTACCCCTTAAATAAAAATGTTTTTCTTCCCTGCATGGAAAGAAAATCTGGCTCTGTTCTATTTAACTAAGCCATGCATTGTTTGGGTTTTCAGATTTTTCATGGATTACTAATAATTACACAAAGTAAACCTGGAATGTAGTGTTTGGTATGTACAGAACACAGGCATATGGCAAAAAATAAGGGGCAACCCCTTCTTGTGACAAATTCTTCAGAACCTCAGGCTGCCCCGTGTCTCATCCCAAAAGGATGCACTTGGCAGACTGTGGGTGATAAGAAGGATCACAGCACTGGTAAATATGACTCCAAGGGTGATCCAGGGAACTTGGATGTGCTATCCCACACCACCCCCCCATTCCCTAAAAAAGCTGGGCAGAGGATGATGTATTAAACTGTCGGGCTGCAATGTGCAGAAGAAAAGAGACTCTGCAGCTGGAGATCTCAGTGAGGGTTATAAACCAGCTGCATGAAAATGTCAGAGCAGGAACTGTGATGGGGACTGTAAAGGTTGGTGACCACCAAATTTCCCAATATTTGCTAAAACTGTTCATGTCTGGGTTTTTCATTGAGGTGGTTTATATTAATATTTATATTTATATTTATATTTATATTTATATTTATATTTATATTTATATTTATATTTATATTTATATTTATATTTATATTTATATTTATATTTATTTACTACTGTTTTCCACATGCAATGAAATTTCAAGCATTTGTGGCTCTCATCAATCTGGTCTTTGGGATTTTTTTTAGGTAGTTATCTGTGTTGTTTGGCTTGTGTCATGCTTTTCAGCACATCTGCTTTGAATGTCTCCTGTCATTCTGGCAGCTGGGAATTAAAAATACACCCACTGATTGGAGCCTGTTTTATGAATGTGTTGAGGGGGAAGAGTGTAGAGGAAGACATGTCTTTGCTCTAAAACTGACAGAATTTCACTCCTTCATTTATTGTCTGGACACAGAAAGAGGTGGAGGTGAGGATCAATCTTTCCCTACCTCATCTGTGCCATTGCAAGGATTATCATGAGATGCAACTGCTGTTGTTCATTAAGCCAAAGTTGCTCAAAATCGTTTTCTTTCGTGTTTTATTTCATTATTCTGCCCAGTTGGTCCCAGTTAGATGAAAGCTATGGACTACTGGTCTCTCCCTGGGATGTGTAGAAGACATTGTGTGTTTTGAGGCTTTGGGGCTCCAGGAAAACAGTCCCATGTCCTGTTTCACAAGTATCGTATCTCCTGGTGGAGAGAGAGCCGCATTTCCATGGCAATTTTCCTGCCTTTCCAACATCCAGCTCCATCAGAGCCAGAGTCCTGCCATGCTCCAAGCTCACTTCCAGCAAATTACATTTATGGTACCATCACTTCATCCTTTGCCATCCAGAGCACCCCAGACTCCAGCAGATCCCTCTCAGGCCCACAGATCCCAACCATTCCTGCTGCCTTGCCTGCCTGGATGCTCCAGGAACCGCTGGTGCCTTTGCATTCCTCCATGCCCCTTGAGCAACCTCCCCAGTTCTGCACCCAGCAGCACTCAGTCCCCCAGGGGCCGGGGGTTTTGGTAGTTAAACCCTCCGAGTTTGGGTCCCAAAATCTTTCTGGAGGACAGAGGTGGGACAGGGGAAGCCTGCAGAGACACAGGAGCCTCCTCCATCAGCAGCTCATGGAGTGGAGAACCCACCACGCCACCAACCTCCCCCTCAGACATGGCTGGGGCTTTGCAATCTCCATATTCAGAAGAGTTACTGTGTCACTGGATGAATGAATAGCATCTCTGAACCAAATCCCACCTCTCCTGCCTCTTTCCTCTTTATTATTTCTGGCTTTTGCCCTTTCACAGCAGAAATAACTGTGCTTAGAGGTAAATCTCCTCAATTATCGTCCCTCTCATTGCATGAATCCCTGGCTTTTAAACCCATAACACAGTTTATTTTCTACGTGCTGGTGACTCCCTTAGGCTTGGTGTCATTCTGAACCAAGCAATTTATCTCAGTCCACTGGGACATTATGTCCAGCCTAGTCTCAAACCTTGCACAAATTTAACTAATTTTCAAACCAAGCAAGACCCAGTTCTGAGACACTCTCAGGCAAGAGACAAATTCACTCTCTACTCGAGAGAAACACAATAGTGCCCATCATCAAAACTATGAGTGAGAACAATTTCTGCACTCCTGTGTGTCAAATGGCAGCAAATGCAAATTACTGAGTGATTGCAATATTTGCAATTATTGATCCCAGAAGTGGATTCTGACTCTGGTTTTTGATATAATGGCAAGATGTCTACCATGCTCATTGGGTTTAAAGCTGCCTAGTCCAGCTCAGTGCTGCTTTGTAATTCAACCTGCCAGAGATTATAGAATCATGGAATGGTTTGGGATGCAAGGAACTTTAGAGGTATCTAACTTATCTCAATCCCGTGCCATGGGCAAGGACACCACCCACTATCCCAGGTTTCTCCAAACCCCATCCAAAATGGCATTGAACACTTCCAGGGACTGAACATCCACAGCTCCTCTGGACAACCTCTGCCAGGGTCTCACCACCCTCATTATGAAGATTTTTGTTCTATATCGAATTTTCATCTACCCTCCTTCAGCTTAAATCCATTGCCCCTGTCACTCTACGCCCCTGTCCAAAGTCTCTCTCCAGTTCTCTTGGAGAATCTTCAGGCACTGGAAGATGCTCAAAGTTCTCCCCAGAGCCTTTGCTTCTCCAGGCTGAGCACACTGAATTCTTTCAGCCTGTGTTCATAGCAGAGTGGCTCCAGCCAAATTTGTCTTCATCCCCAGAGGAGAAAGGGCCAAGGCCTGCCCTGCATCATCACTCAGTGCCTGCAGGCAGCTATCTCAGCAGGACTGACTTCTGATCAGTCCTGTGGTGCCCCAGAATTGATTGGGGATTAACAGGAATGTCCCAAAGGATTTTGCAGGGCTCTCTACCCTACTTGAAGTGGGAAGATGGCCCTTGCTGCTCCCACAGATCCAGGTGCAGCAGATGGAGAGGGTCCAGCAGGTGCTGCAGAATGAGACAGGCTGGGTGTTAATCCATGGGGATGTAGCACTGCAATCCAGGATCGTTCCAGCTCCTGGCTGCAGTGTCCCCATCAGTGCCTGCAGCTGCTCCATGACTCTTCTTCCCTCAGCACTAATGGAGCAGCACATTCCTGCCATCCCTCTGCCAGAAGCCCTTTCAGTCAGGGGTCTGTCAGTCTGACATCTCCCTGTGTGCCTCCCTGCTCACATCCTGTGGCTGGCAGAGTCCTCCTGAGCCAGGAGGGCCCATGCCAGGGACCTGCTGGGCTGGATCTGGCTCCTGTGCTGCTGCTGGAGAAGCACGTGGACAGCCAGCAGCACCCTGGCTGAGAGCACAGCCCTGCCACAGCCCGGGGGCCAACAGGACTTGGACACCAGGCATGTGAAGGGCTGGCAGGAGAAAATGCTGCTCTTCAGCTGGCCAAGGCTGTCCCCTCATCCACAGTCCTTATGGATAGCATCAGCTGATTTCTGTATTTCATCTTTTTCCAGGTCTTGAGTAATTGTGAAATGTCTTGTTCCCTACAATCTGTGCCCGAAGGGAAGTTGTGGGCTTTGCTTCAGCATCCTCAGCTAAAAATTCCCTCTAATCCCTTTCTGGACTGTACTCTCTGTGTCTACATCTCCTCCATCCTGATTTCCTTCCAGCCTGGGACAGCGACAGGGATGTGGGAAGCTTGCAGCAGGACAATGCACATCTCCCAGCCCATGGTGCCCTCAGGGATGCCACAGCCCAAGCCAGCCATGCTACAGTGGTGGCCACGATGGCAGGAAGGTGACAGAGACCTCACTGAGCCCAGCTCCAGCACCCAGCCAAACTATAAACCTGATGGCTGAGTTACAGGCTGGAACAGGATCTCTGGGGAAGCACCTGGGACCAGGCAGGGTAGGAACAATAGGAGCCTGCCTTGAAGTGCCTTCCTTTCCTCTCATTTGGACAGAGAGATTAAGCTCAGCTTTTCTATGTTGTAGCGGTGCAAAAGTCCTCCCTCTCCTGCAGGTTCTACCGACTCCAGGGATCCATCCTGCAGGCAGTGGAGCTGCTCTCAGTGGAGGGAGCAGAGCCTGTGCAGGATAGAAAGGAAACTGCGGCTGTCCCCTGCTTTGTGTTGAAAACCACAACCCCATCAAGTCACCCCCAGGTACTCCACACCACAGAGACTCCTGATGCTGCACAGTGGCAAATTCCTCCTGGGCTGGGTGGAGCACAGGTAACCCACATCAGAATATGACCATCTCTCACTTCTAATCAATTCACCTCTTTGAAGCCTTTCTAGAGCATGAAATGGTCACTGGGCAGTGATTGTTATCCTGTGGCCAGGTTCATCACACTGTGCTTTGCCTGAGACCCCTGATGTGTGTTGAGATCCTGCCATAACACACAGGCATGAAGGGAGAGCACAAAATCTTTCCAGACTGAATCACAGAATCACAGGATGGTTTGGGTTGGAAGGAACCTTAAAGACCGTCTACTTCCAACACCCCTGCCATGGGCAGGGACACCTTCCACTAGATCAGGTTGCCCAAACCCCCATCCAGCCTGGCCTTGAACACTTCCATGGATCAGATCTGGCAGAGATCTAAGTGGAATTCATCCCCATCTTCCCAGATCATGCTGTCTGATATTACTACCCATCATTCCCCTTCTGTGGCAGAAGGGTGGAAGGTCCTGCTGCAGAACCTACTGGAGACATCTCCTTGTACAGCACTAAAGACCCAGGGACAGAGGAAGCCAGTCCTGCTCTGTCCCCACCAAGCCCTGCTCACCCTCTCTCACAGCCAATGGGAAGGCATGACATGGACATCAGCAAAGGGGCTGCATTGCACCAAGGTCAGCTTTGGCTTCATGAACCACGTGTGGTTGGGTAATACAGACAAAGCAGGGACTCAGAAGTAGGCAGGGTGATGGGGAAACATTCTGTGGGATGGATGGTCTTGTCAGGGCTTTGTGTCTGTCCCTCTTTGCCTTCTGTGGCTGCTGGTGACGACACAAAACCCCGTGGGGTGATGGAATGGGAACACAGGGGGTGATGACCGCTGGTTCAGCGCGTGACGACACGGGGGCAGCGTCCCCCACACTGACCGGGGGGGAAGGAGATGGTTTGTGGAGGGGGTCATTGAAACAGTGCAGAGAGCCCAGCCCAGCTGGGCAATGCAGTGAGCAGAGCAGTGTCCCAGCTCCAGAGCTGCTGTGGGAGGTCAGAGCTTACCTATTTGAGGTGCAGGGTACCCGTAGTGCTGCAGTTCGTCAGGGTCCTCTCGCTTTCTGTTATCTGTGGACCTCAGCGATTGGCTTCTGGAATTATAGCGTCCATTGGCTATGGCAAGGTAATGGGTCATGTAAATACACCTCGGTTCACTCTGCAAGATCTTTCACTACAAAGGTTACACGCATTAACAACAGCGACCTGCGACATTCCCCTGACATGAGCACCTGCTTTCCAACCCCAGCACCCCTGACCACCAGTTTTCCCTGAGGTTTCAGCACCAGCCAGCCTGAAAGACTTGGGCTGGTTTGTGGCTCAACCCCTTCTTTTTGAGCAAGGGTTGGGACCATGCAGAGTATGATCCCTTCTGTCTGGTCTTTAATTCATTTCAGTGGTTTTCCAGGGTGTCTGCACTCCTTGCTGCACTTGTGGAGGATTCATCCTCTTCAGACGTGCTGGCACTGAATCCCACCTTCCCTAGTGGTGTTTTGAGATTTATGGTGGTAACTGGCAGGGTGCTACTGGTGGGAAATTCTACCTAGAAATGTCCTGCAGAGGAGTCAGAAAATGCTGGGTGGAGCAGGCAGGCGAGGGCAGGTGGAAAGGAAAGGGATACCTCAATAGAATGTCTCCTTCATAGACTTTACCCTGCCACCAGCAACAAGGACAGATGAAAGTCTGGTCTCAGCAGAGTACCAGCAGGGCTATAACTGGGAACTTTTCCTTCTCAGTGAGAGACAAACTTCTGACCCTTGTATCCTACTGAAAATCTCCCAGTGGAGCCCATGGTGTGGAGTTCAGAAGGTAAATAATGCATCCACAGTAAATCAAAGGAATTTAACCATTCCTTCTGAGCCCACGCTCCACCAGTTTTTCATTTTCATCCCGTGTAGATCAACCCTGAATTGGCTGGAGGGAAAACTAAAATTTCTGTTGTCTGTATTACTGGACATGCTGTAACCCTGACACATTCCCTCCTAACAAAGAGAGAAACAACACAGCAAAAACAACCAAAGCCCATCCACCAGGAGTGTCTGCTGTAAATTAGGAGAGCTCAGCTGACTCCACAGGAGTCACACAGAATAGCAGAGAGCAGAGCTGAGCCCGAGTAATCTGTGATCTGGCAGCCAATTTGTTTCCAAACAGCAAGTACCAGACAGAAGATCTTTTCCCCCAAGGAGGCAAAACAGTCAGACATCTTTTCAAGAAGTATGAACTGCCAAGGGTTGAAATGGTGACAAATTTGATCCTGGAACCCTGAGAAAATTAATAAAGGTTAATGAAGCTTCAGTGTGGTGGCAGGAGTCTTTATTGCCATCCAAAAAGGGAAAGCAGAGGAGGCAGAGGAATGATTCAGAGAGTCCCTGCCAGGAGCCAGGCTTTATATGCAGCAGTTTGGATCATGGGAGAGTTTGTGAAATTGCATTATTTACTGTCACTGTTGCCTGAAAGCAGAACTTGAGAAGTCTAGGAATTGTCACATGGACTCCTCCAAACATTCCCAGCACCAGCTGGCTGCTGGCTGGAGGGGATGGGATGGGGCATCACCCACCTGCCATCCTCAAGGGAAAGATACCCGCAGCCTCACATCAGGACTACAAACATCCCAAAATCTGCAAACACTTTGGTTTTGTCTGCTCTTTCCTGGAATAGAAAGGTCTCAAACCCTGTGCTTTTAATAACTAAAAATCATGGGACTTCCCTGTGGGATATTCAGTTCAAAAAAGATAAACTCTAAATAGTTCTCCAATACTAACTTTTTTGAGTTTGTTAGGAGACAACTTATTCCCATATTTGGTACTTCTCACATCCCCACCACCCATTCCTGGTTATACCCACACACTTTCATCTGCTCCAATTTAAGTCCTCTCCATGAAGTCTCACAAACTACAAGAACACACAAAATCTCCATCTGCACCACATCCCATGGGCTTCCCACAGACTTATTTAGGCTGGGAGGAGAAAGTGGGGCTGGGCATCAGGGAGTGGATGTGGAGCTTGGATGGCTTTGTGACCTGCCCAGAGCAAGGAAGGTGACAGGGAAAACCTGGGATTTGATATCCCAGAAGCAGTCAGTGCTCACAGATGGACAGAGACATAGGAGGTAGCACAGAGGGAAGGAAAGATAAAACAGCCAAACAAAAGTTTTAATTGCAAGCCTAACACCCTGAACCTCCTCTCACCAATTATTTGGGCCCGGTGTTGCTGACATCTCTTAATGACTTATCCCAGTCTTGCAGGACTGAATTATTTCCTTTGCTCCTTGACAGGAATGTCAAGTCTGCACTGTTATTTCTCATGCTAATTAAAGCCAATCAGGCCTAGAGGCTGAATGAGTGACTCTTCCAGCTTCTCCCAAGCTTCCCCCCTGCCAGGGTTGCTCCACTGCTGCAGGAAGCCTTCCTCCCCCTTGGAAAAGGATGTGCAGAGAAGCCAGTTTGTCTCCATTTAACACAGAGCACAGCTGAGATTCAAGCTGGACAGTTTCCCTGGAGAAGTGCACAAATTGATCCTGGTTCCTCCAGATCACGGGGAAGTTGGTGCAACAGTTTGCTGTGGGTACTTGAACTTTATGGGGTGGAGGTCAAAACTTAAAGGCAGTAGGGACCTGGCTGGATTTCAGCAGCATTTTTCCCACAGCAGGATCAGTGGAGAGGAGTAATTCCAGGATTAAGGGAAGACCTAGACCAAATTTACATCCCAGCTGGGTAAATGCAGTGAAAATGGCACGAAAAATCCAAGCACCTTTCCAATGCCAACAGGAGGAACAGAGGGAAAATGCTCTTGGAACCAAACAGGGATGTTTCAATTGCAAGCAGAGGCAAGTACATGAGATTTTGAAAAAAAGCACAGCTCAAGTGTGGATGTGGAGGATGATCAGTGCTGGCAGGAGTGGGAATAGGAAGCAGGTGACCAACACTTCTAATGAGAACATGCAATGTGTCAGACAGCACCTTGCAACACAACCAAGGGAAAAATAAAATAAAGGCAGAGACTTTGAAGTGCTGTGGGCCAAGGTTTTAACATCCAAATATGTCTCACCACAGCTACACGCTCTGTACTCATCCCCCAAACAAGAGGGATGCAAAGAAGAGGGAGAGGCAAAGCAAACAGCAAGATCATGAAAATTATTCAGGTAAGGTGGGATGGTGGGAATGAAGGGATGAACCAGAGCAAAAAGTGGAACTATTATTATAAGTGGGATTATTAAAAAAACACCCAAAACATTCAAATTAATCTCTGTGCAGTAAAACTGAAAGGAAATGTGGTGGCTATGGAGTTTTTGGGGCAATCTATCAGCTGCTAAAGAATAAAACTGAAAAGTAGAGAATTACTAACAACCCCTAAACCCCAAAATCTCAGTGGATGGAGAAGAGGCACATTTTGGAGGCCACTGGATGTGCTGCAATTGCACCCAAAGCATTTCAATTTGAACATCTGAAATTTGTGCAAACATCACTGGGGGAGATCTGTGACTCTCAGACGTGAAGTGCCTGAACCACCAGTAAAAAAGAGGGCAGGGCAAAGCCTCTGCTGCAGCAGCAGGTACCTACAGGAGCTCCTCCAGCTTGCACTGAGTTCTAGCCTGACTGCAGGGAATGAAGATGCTCCTACACATGCCCAGGATATTTCAGCTCTGTGGTTGCAGCAAAAACAAAACAAAAAAATAAAATAATGAGAATCAGGGGCAGCAGAGACTGAGACTGAGGCTCAGCCTTGGGAATGTCACGAGGAACATGCATTCCTTCACACCACTAACAGCTGAAGGGCTGCATCCTGAATCTGTTGGGAGCTGAAAATCCAGCCTGGAACGACAGGACCAGTGTCACCCTCCTGCACCTGGCACCAGGATGTGGTCACCCCTTTCCCAGCCATGGGGAGCTGTGGCTTCCCAATCTGCAGATCCATAAATGTCAGGGATGGTTCTGCAGCCTCTGCCACATGGGATGGCAGGATTTCAGCTGCCTCCTCTGCTGGTTCTCCTTCCCCAGGAATACATACAGGCTGCCCACATCTCTGATTGTTCTTACATCTCTCCAGCACTGCTGAATTCCGACGCTGGGGTCAGGGCTGTGAGATTTCCCCTCTGGTTTGGATGTTGTCCATCCTTGTGAGGATCCTCTGCCTGCCAGGTTGTGAGCAAACCCAGCTTCAAGAACCTTGCAGCCAAAAAGAGCCACTGGAGCAGGTCCCTCTCCATCCACAGTGGGTGCAACTGGGAATCTCCTTAGCAAGCTCCCACCACGCTTAGGTTGGCTTTTTTTTCCTTCTCTCTACAAAACAGCAGCCTTTGCCCAAACCCCAGTCCCCAACAGAGGGAGGAAATCTCCTCTGTCTGTGCTGTAGAGGGGGATATCACCAAGTCCTTTACCAAGGCAAAATCAGAATTACAACAAAAACTTTGTGTTTTCCTTCAGCCACAAATAAACTTTGTGTTTTCCCTGAGCTGCCACAAATAAAAGGCTCTGCCTAAGCCAAGCTGCTGTTATCAGACAAAGTTTCCTTCCCAGTCTGGGATGAGTCTTCAATACAGTTTTTCCACAGCATTTCACAGTTTTTCGTTTTGCCCATGGAAAACTTACCTGGCTTTCTTCCTGTTGGGCTTGGGTGTGTATCCCTGGGGAAATTTAGCCAGAAGATTGTCAAGCAAGAGACACTATCACATGAAACAGCAGAGATGGTGGCCCAAATGAGTGGGAAAACACAAAGACCACATATAAATGGTACCTGTGGAGTCATTCAGCCACCCCTGTGCACTGATTTTAACCTCTGTGGCCTCCAGATAACATGTTCAGACTCAGCTCTGGGGCCCAGGTGTCTGCACCCACATTTTGGTGACCAGGCTGCCACAAGTCACAGCTCTTGGAAAAACTGAGAGGTTTCTCCCACCATTCCCCCTCCTGCATGCTGAGACCTGCTGAAGGCCCATCTTCAGCAGCTCTGGACAGTCCCACCTGGGCAAGGTCCACCTAGGGGAGGAGCTGTGTGACAAGACAGCTTTGGAACATTTGCCATGGCCGGGCAAAATAAAACAATCAACTAAACCCTCAGAGATCTTCCACAAAAGTTCTCTCAGCAGCTCCAGGGTGCTGAGTGTCACCACTCTAAGAACCTGCCCAGGGGCTGGAGATCCAACTAAACACCTGAAACACTCCTGCTAATCACTCATCAGCTTCTGAGCCACTTTGGCAGAAGTAGGAAAGGAGAAGTTAAAGAAAACAGATGGGTTTATCCTTGTTTTGAAGGTGGTGGGGATGTCTGTGCTATTCTAACCTGACTTGCTTGGCCAGCAGTTTCTTAGTGGACAAGTTTCAATTTACCTCCACAGCAAAGAGGAAAGCATCAGAGCACTCATCCCTGTTTTGTTCTGCTGATTTATCAGGATTACAGATGGCCCTTTGTTCAAGGAAAATATATTTTTTCCTGCTTTTTTTCTTCCTACTAGAAAATTAAGATCTCAGCTATTCCACAATACTTGGTGAGCTGGTCAGATATTACTACAAGCCGCTTAAATGCTGAACAATTGGAGATAAAGTTGTTCTTCTGAACAGTTGCTCTTTTGCTTTTTTTTTTTTTTAATTTTTTCTTCATTTTTTTTTTTTAATTAAAAAAATAAATACTTAGAATCTATTTAACTGCGGCTTATAATGAACACTTAGAATAATAACAGTTCCAGGGAAAGAACGAACATTCTACTCATCCCCAACAAATCTGTGAGCAAAGGTCAATATGAAAATAACAGTGACACACTTAAAACAGGATTTCTATTCTACTTTTAAATCCTCTTAGGTTTTGGTGCAGATCAAAGTAAAGAGAAGGAAAAGATACGTGCAAGAAAATTAAAAACCCTTCTGGGGTCAAAAGTGCATCTCCCTGGGCAAAGGCAACAGGGGACAGATTCACTGGGAGGCAAGTTCAGAGCCAAGTGAACAGTTTTGATATGAAGAGACACAGGTTTATCTTGAAGTAGGACACAGACCTCAAGATGTGCATGGAGAACTCTTCTGGAAATATTTATTGCTCACATATCCCCTCAAATCCTTACCAGCACAGAAAATGCAGCTCAGCAGTTTGTCTGCAGAGAGGGTCTTGGGACAGTTAATCAGAATTAATTTATTTCAATGGAATAAATCAGTTTGTGCTCCCCAACTCTGTGTGTGTACTCTCCTTCCAAACTAGGACTTTCCACTGAGCTTAAAATTCATTCTTCCCAAATCATCTGAAATGAACTAATCCCATCGCAGTTTGGAGGAAGAATTGACTGGGAATGCAATGGAAAAAGGACAGGAAGACAAGTGAAATAATTTATTGAATCATAGCCCCTTGAGTTTTTTTTGCACTTAGGATTGGCTTTGCTGATTGTTGTGTTCTGGGAAAAGTGAAGTAAAAATTGATTAATTCTTCACTGCTGCACTCCATGCCATGGAAATTCAACCCAGGCTCCATGGTTCTCCACCCCATCCCACCCCTTGCCACCACAACCTCAGGAGATCTCACATGAAGAACCAAAGTTTTGAAGTTTTGCCCCTGGGGAAGGAAGATCGAGGGAAGATGTTACACTCCCTGCTCAGTGCTGGTGAGGCTGGCCCTGGAAAGGAGGATCTTCCCCCTCTCACCACTTCAAGAGGCCTGCAGAAGAATCAAACAGGTCCCATGGACAGCTTGGAAGATGGTTGGGGATGAGGAAGGATGTCCTGCAAAGAGAATCTGTGGAACTGGATCCCCTCCTAGTTTATCCAGCATAGGAGGGACACATTAAGGAGGTTTTTTGCTTGTTGTTCCATGTGTTCCCATGGTCAAAGAGTGACCAGCACTGCAGATCCCCCTCTCCCACTCCCATGTCTTCCTCCACACATTGTTTACCAGGACTGGTGTGGCCCTTCTTCCAACTCCACTCAGGCACACCCCAATCCCACAGCTGGACTTTTTTCAGGACCAGCTTCCAGGTCCTTGCACTCCTCCTCTCCCTGCCACAAGCCACAGCTGAGTCATGACTACAAAATCACCACCAAGCATGGGAGACACGGATTAAATATCCCTGGCGTGGGCAAACCTCAGAGGGAATTTAGCAATTGTGAGTCAAGGAGATGCAATTCAATATACCAGGTTTCATTAAAAAAAAAAAAAAAATCTAAGCCTAATTGCAACATATTTTAAATTTATGGAAATGTTAAAAAATGCATGAAATGATTTTAGCCCTTATTAAAGGAATATATTTATGCCCCTTTATTTGAACTTCCCCCTTATCAGGAGATACTTCCCAGCCTTTGAAGACAGTTGAACTTTCCTTACTTATTTGACTAGTCCGAGGAGTTATTCAAACATTCTCTACTCCGAATTTGAAATAAAAAGAAGGGAATAATTATAACCAGCCATTTTCTTTCATTTGTTGAGCTGAGCTGTGTCTGCAGTTGGCTTTTCCTCTTGATCCCCCCTCTCAACACAGCTTAAAGCAATAGAAGAACTGGGGATGAAAGTGCTGGAGGTTCACCAGCTCAACTCATCAATATCCAGCTGGTGTGGGCACTCTGTGCCCTGTTCCCTGGAGAAGAGGACCTGGAAGGAGGATAAATTACAGGGGGAGAGTGGAGCACACACCAAAGCCTTTGCATCACTCAGTCCCTGCCTAACAGCCAGATCTTTCTCTGCATCTTATCACCAGGGGCTTCCATTTGTAAAAGAAAGGTGCAGGGTCACTGCTTTTCAACTAAACCAAGAAGAAGCAAGATTACCATCTCTCTCAGCTTTAACTGCTTGGGAGAACTGAAAAAGAAAATAATGCCTGTAAGGACGTGGCAGATTTACCACCAGCATATGAAAACCTGCTTACGGATTCCTGTAATTTCTTTGGGCTGAAGGCCTGGAAGGTGCAGGAAGACTGTGCCAGCACGTGTGCGAGACAGGCAGGGACAGGCAGGGCCATGCACAGCCGAATCCACATGTTCCCCTGGGCTCCCTGCTCCAACACAGCCCTGGGGCAGCTTCCCCGAGCCTCTGCAGCACCCTCCATCCTCGATGGGGATGAGGCCATCCTCCTCCTCCTCCTCCTCCTCCCGGGAAGGGCGCCCTGCCGGCCCCGCGCGTGCAAGGGAACATGCCTCCACTTACTATTGCAAGCCTTCCTATTGCACAGCCGTCCTTCCTCCAGGACTCCCTCGCAGGCCAGGCCCTCGTTGGGAAGGGGCTTGCAGGAGCGCATGCGGGTCTGCAGGCCGCCCCCGCAGTCCTTGGTGCAGTCGCCCCAGGCCGACCAGGAGTTCCAGCCACCTGGGCAAGATCCAGAAAAGCCCCGTCAGCCTCCGTGAGAGCCCAGAGCCCGGGGGAGCCGAGGTGGCACAGACCCTGCCGTGTACCAGCTGCCAAAAACTGGGGCGTCTTTAAATGTGGTGGGACTGGACACTGCAGGGTAGCCCAGAAAGTCGAGAAGGGGAAGGGAGAAGCATTGCCTGACTTTACATTGACTTCTCTTCAGTTATTCCTGTTTCTAGAGTTTAAGAAGTGTTCGGACAATGCCTTCAGGCACACGGTGGGGTTCTTGGGGCTGTCCTGTGCAGAGCCAGGAGTTGGACTTCAGTGATCCTTGGGGGTCCCTTCCACCTCCGGATATTCTATGATTCCAGCTCTTCCTGTGCTTACTGTGGCAAAGAGCGCCCCTCTGACAAGACCCTCTGTCCATTTTGCGTCCTGTTGGCTTCCAACCCCAGAAGACGCAAGCAAAAACCACTTCAAGGTACAAATCCACCAATCCAGTGAGGTTGTGACTCCTCCTTCTGCCACCACACAAACACATGATGTGAAGACAAGGAAGCTGAGAGGGGATAAGGGTTCTATCACTCATATTCCCCAAAAAAAGACAGTTCCTTTCCCCACACTGCAGACCCCACCAGCCACAGGGAGCACCGCTCTCAAGGACAGCTTTGGTGGGAGAATAACGTGGGAATGATGTTCTCCTCCATCACCCTTTGTAGAACCCACAGATACCTGTGAGCACCATGAAATGAAGGTGCATTTTTGGCTCCTCTCCCAGGCCATGCTCAGTGCAGGTGTCAGCAACCCTCATCTTTCCCCACTGTACCACAGTCTACAGCTCTGAAAACTGATGGATCCACCAAACCACCTGGCTGCAGGGATGATCCTGCTACTTAAGGGAAATTCTGAGCCTTCTCCACCCTGTGTCTTTCCAGCTTCTTGCCAACAGTAATGGCCCGGGTGGAACTTTCATAAATGCTGATGGCAGGATGGACTGTGAAAACCATCTGAATCTGGCTGGCCTCCCACAGTCCAAACACCTGCAGGGAGCACAGCAAGGCTGAGTTTTGGGTTGTAAAAGACAGCAGGGGATTATCCAGTCCTTTCAGGTGATGGATAAGCTGTCACATCCCTCAGTGGTCAGTTTGTTCCTCATGGGCCGCATGCAGCAATCTAAAATCTGCTGAAATAAGCCTCAGTTTCACTGTTCTGCTCCATCGTTTGTCCACCTCATGGGGAGGAGCAGAGGTGGCCCTTCAGCCCAGAGGTGGCCACTTTCACATGGCTGCTTTTCCTGCTGAGAATTCTCTCATTACCCACAGCTACCCTTGGAGATGTTTCAGGTCCAGGGAATTCAGCTCTGCGCTGTGCTCAGGCACAGATAAGGATAACGAGCTAAAGATGCAGGGGTTTTTGAAGACAGGAAACACTGGGGAAATTCTTGTTTTTAAAATAAAAATGAAATAACTCATCCAATAACTCATCCCCCCCCCCCTTTTTTTTTCCCCTTGCCAACAGCCAGAGAATTCAGAAATGCAGATGATGCACTTCAGCTGACTCAGCCTCCCTGAATTGCTGTTTATGAGATTGTGGCTGTACTCTAAGCTCTGGACTCTGCTCTTCCTACACACCCTAGACAGGACACCAGCCTTGTCTGGAAAAACGAGCCCAACTAGGTGCCAGATCAGAATTTAGGGACATTGTCAGCACCCTCTTGCACAGGGATGTACAAAGACTCATCCACGCCCACAGCAAAAACCCACCAGTTTATACTCTGCTCTCTCTAGCCTGGTTGTGGTTTAACTTTTCCCTCCAATACAAAGTGAAAATAAATACAGGTTCAGCAACATTCCCTCTGCTGATGGCCATGGAAGCTGCTCAGATACTTAATCATGAGAATAGCATGAAAAATTGAGCAGGAAGGAACTGGAGGGCAGTGAAGTTGCCAGCAAAGTGCCCAGAAATCCTGGCAGCAGTGTGGAGGACAGCATTGTTACTGGCACAAAACAAATACTTGACCTTGAAGAAGACTGTCTTTCTCTCAAAAGTTACTTTCTGTGCTGTGCTGGTCACTTTTCTAAAGAGCACAGGAACACAGGCTTCTCTTCCATTTCCTTATGGAAGACAGATTGTGTTTCCTTTGTAAGAGAAACCATCGGTGTAATGGGAGGTATCCTGATGGCAGGCTCCAGCTGATCAATAGGATATCTGCAACCAGACACGTTTAGGAGTTAATCAGCTCCTGGCTTGCCCTTTTCAGGATGTCTTTCTTTCATCTTATTCCCTTGCAGATTAACAGTGGGGCTGGGGAAGGGAGAAAGCAACTTTACGCAAGCCTTGGCTTGGCTTGTGATTTATTTGGGATGCTTTTTGCTGAGACAAAATACATAATTGCTCCAGTGTCTTTAGAAATTATTTTATATTGTGTTCGTAAGCAAAATATGGGCCCAGACTCATTGGCTGTTGTGGTGTTCCCAGTTTGATGATGGATTATTCAAACAGTTCTGCATTTTGGGATATGACCCATTATGGCACTGATCCTCTAAAATACACAGAGAAATTAATGCTGCCTGGTCATACTACAGGAAAGAGGGGATAATGAAGGTGCCAGTGTTTGATTTCTTAAATAATATACTCACAGAATCATGGAATGGTTTGATCTGCAAGGGACCTCAGAGGTCACATTGTTTCACCCCCCTGCCATGGGCAGGGACACCTTCCATTATCCCAGGTTGCTCCAAGCCCTGTCCAACCTGGCCTTGGACACTTCCAGGGATTGGGCAGCCACAGCTTCTCTGAAAAACCTTTGCCAGGACCTCACCACCCTCACAAGGAAGAATTTCTTCCTGATATCCAAGGCAAACCTCCATTCTTTCAGTTTGAAGCCATTCCCCCTTGTCCTGTCACTCCAGGCCTTTGTAAATATTCTCTCTCCATGTTTCTTGTAGGCTCCCTTCAGGTACTGGAAAGCCACAATTAGGTCACCCTAAAGCTTCTTCTCTCCAGGTTGAACAACCCCAATTCTCTCAGCTTTTCCTCACAGCAGAGCTGCTCCATCCTCTGATCATCTTGGTGCCTCCTTGGGACTCTCTCCAGGAGCTCCAGGTCCTTCCTGTGCTGGGCTCCAGGGCTGGAGGCAGCTCTGCAGGTGGGGTCTCACCTCAGCAGAGCAGAGGGGGTAACTCTTACTCTGCTTATCCTCAGCAATGGGAGAACCAGGGGAAATAAGATAAAAATTGTCATGATCTCAAATCCTTAACTGGAATGAGATCCATTTATGAGGTTGAGCTCAGCTAACTTCCTCTCCTTAATCCTCAGTTTCCACCCCATTTGTGAGTGATAAAGAGGAGCTAGAGAAGTACCAGGGCACTTAGTAAATCAACCCAGGCATTTACAGCCAAGACAAAGGTATTCCCCACTTTATGGAGTGGTCCTTTTTTATCATCAGGTTGTACCATGGTCCTGACAAATTAAATGCTGCATGTTATTTATCTTGTTTATTGGCTGTCAGATAAACCTTTTGAAATCCTCCTTCTTTTCCTGGGTCTGGTCCTTCACTGCTTCAAGTGATTTGTCTTTTTTAGTGGAGCTGTAAACAAGTGGTTAAGGGTCTATTATATGAAGTTATTCCTATCCTACATTTCAGGAGGGAAAATGCTGTGCCATGAGGAAAACACAGGGTTCTCGTGCCCACTGCTGCATCTGGTTTCTGGAAAGGAGTGGCTGAGGGAGCTGGAGGGGGCTCAGCCTGGAGAAAAAGGCTGAAGAGAGACCTCATCTCTCCCTACAACTCCCTGACAGGAGCTTGTAGGGAGGTGGGTGTCAGTCTCTTCTCCCAAGTAACAAGTGACAGGATGAAATAGCCTCAAGATGTGCCAGGGGGAGTTTTAGATTCTTTATTTGGAAAAATTCCTACTCAGAAAGGGTTGTTAAGCACTGTACCAGGCTGCTCAGGGAAGAGGTGGGGTCACCATCCCCACGAGTGTTCAAACAAGGTGTGGATGTGACACTTGAAGACATGGTGGTGGTGAATATGCTGGGGGTGCTACACTGGTGGTTGGGCTTGGTGATCTTTTCCAACCTTAAGGATTCCATGGTTCTATGAAAAGAATGACCCACAATGGCTGTGGAAGGATCTACAATGGCTGTGGTGTCACACAGATGCTTTCAACACAATGCGGAAGCTGCAGAAGGGAATGCAAGTGTGATGTGGTCCCTGCAGAGGCTGCACAGCTGCCCCGTCCCTCAGTCCATCACTCAGTCTCTGCTGGTTGAGCTGACACAGCCCCCACGGACTCCCCACCCTCTAGGAAACGTTCATCCCCACTTGCCCACCACACAATCCTTGCTCTGCCCCTTCTTCCATTTCGAGCAGGAGGTTGGATGGGTTTTTTTGTGAGGAATCCACATGAAATGCAGTGCAGACTGGCTCTGAAGTTAATGGGACCCTTTGCAGACAGTCCCTGCTCCCCATGGAGCCCAGTTCCACGAGCTCTCAGCAAACTGCTTCTCCTGCTGATTGATGCAGGTTGAGTTGCCATCTGTCCTTAATCCACAAATAATGAAGCTGCTGCAACTGCTCTAGACAGGATTTTGCTTTTCAAAGGCACTGAATCCTCCGAAGGTCACACACCCAACACATTCCCATCTTGTGAAGTTTTTCTCAGCTACGGTCTCATAGAACCACAGAGTTCTCTCACTTTGCCCTTTATCCCCCTAAACTGGAGGAGCTGTGGCTCACGCCTCTGGCTCCAGAGGTTCCCATCACAACCAGCAGCTGTCACCTTGATCACAGAGCCAGGTTTAACTTGCATTATTTATTTTTGGAGGGCAGCCCAAGCTCCTAGACTGTGTTTTAACAAAGGTGGCTGTTGCATCTGAGGCTCGTGGCTGGTCTGAGTGCCTGTCATTCAGGGAGGCCTTTAATCCAGTTTCTAAAGAGTTTTTTGATCCTCCTGAGTCAGTTCTTATCATGACTGTGGACTAAAACAAATTACTTTTCATGCAAGGCTGACCCA